ACCCAACAGCTTCTGCAGAAGTTTCAGATATTGGCTCTTCAACAGCCATCTTGCTCACTTGCCTACTAATATCTGATTTATTGACACACTCAGCAATAGTGTCTTCTGAATGCTCCATGACAGTCTCTTCATCTCTAGAAGTTCTTACAGAAAAGGTCTGACCATCAATGGTAGAACTCCCTCTTAACTTATCCATGTCAAAGTTCATGACAACATCACCAAGATGAAGCTCAATGTTCCCCCTTCTAACATCAATGATGGCTCCAGCAGTAGCCAAGAATGGTCTTCCCAGAATAAGAGGATCTTTAGGTTCTTCAGCATATTTCAGAACCATAAAATCTGTAGGAATTATGCAGTCTTTAATGTTAACATGAACATTCTCTAACATGCCTTCTGGGGTCCTTATGGATCGATCTGCTAGGATGAGAGAGATCCCAGCTGGCTTGAAATCAGTCATTCCAAGTCTAGCAGCAACAGAGAAAGGCATCAAGTTAATACTTGACCCTAGATCACATAGAGAGTGGGGAAAACGTCCTGCAGATATTGAGCAATCAAGCACAAAGGTCCCTGGATCAGATAGCTTCTCTGGAACTTTGCTTTGAGTGATGGTATTGACTTGTTCAGAAACAGTCACCTTCTTCTTCTTCTTTGGAACTGTGCCTAAGAGAATTGCACTGATGTCTCTGGTAAGCAATGCTCCTTCCTCAGGACTTACACCATTCACAACCATTCTCTTTACATACCTTCTTAGAGCTGGTGAAAGCTTGACTGCATCAACAAGAGGGATCTCAAGCATCAGCTTGTCTATCATAGCTTTACATCTGGCTTCTTCTATCTCCTGTTTAGACTTCCTAGGATGCTTGGGGAATGGTGTTTTGGGTTTATAGACACGTTCCTGGTCATAATTTGCAGTTACAGGCGAAGCAGCTTCGTTCTAGGGTGGGTGACGACCGTCACCAGGGGGGTGACACTCGTCACTCACTTGTGACAACCCCCAATATCCTTGTAGGTTGGTGACGAGCGTCACTCCTCCTTGGTGACGCTCGTCACTCACCTCTGAGACAGAAAAAATTTCATCTGCAGACTCCATGAGTTGCACGATCTGTTCTGCACTCAACCTCTTTTTCTGCACTGTTTTAAGCTCCTTTTCATTCCTGACCGTGATGGCATTAACCTGATGCTTGGGATTGATATCAGTCCTTCCAGGAAGGAATCCCTCTTGCCTTTTAACAGCTCCTGCAGTTTGAGCAACCTGCACATCAAGCTTCTTCATGTGAGAGTTCAGGCTCTCAATTTTTCCATTCAGGTCTTGATACAGCGAATCTAGCTTGCCATTGAAGTTCATTGTCATCTTCTGCTGTCCTTCAAGTACCTGCTCCATCATAGCTTCCATTTTATTTTCTTGTGGAGGTGCAGTTTGGTAGGAAGAAGAACCATAATTCCTGCTGTTTTGGTAAGATTTCTCAACTTCAGTCTTCTGAAACTGTGGTATTGGAGTATAACCAAAAGCATTCTGGTTTCCTGGAAATGTGTTCTTCTGATTGTTGCCATTGTAGCCTCTGTTCCACTGCTGATTTCCAAACCTTTGGTTCTGAAAACCCCCTCCATTGATGAAATTAACATCTTTCTGCTCAAATTCTTCAGGATTTTCGAAACTCTCCACTTCTGCAGCAAACTGAACTGACTTCTTTCCCACCAGAAGGCTGTGCATGCTGTCTAACTTAGCCTTAACTTCAGCTATTTGGTTTTCATCATTCAAACCAGCCTGCTGCTTTCTCTGAAAATCTGCATTTTTAGTGCTGTTACTGTAGGCCAAGTTTTCAATCAATCTTACAGCTTCTTCTGGTCTGTTGGTGTTGAAGTTTCCTGCACTTGCTGCATCCAGTGCCATCTGATATTTCCAGTCAATGCCTCTGAAGAAGATCCCAAGTAATTGCACCTGATTGAAACCATGATGAGGACAGTCCCTTTGATAAGACTTGAACCTGATCCAAGAAGCCTTAAAAGCTTCAGTAGGGCCTTGTGTAAAGGATGTAATTTTCGTCCTCATGTCTTCTGATCTTGCATCATCATATAAGTTGTTCAGAAAGGCGTTCTTGGTGTCCTCCCAAGTAGTTAATGAACCAGGCTCCAGTTGCTTCAGCCAATATGCAGCCTCTTCTCCAAGAGTGTAAGGGAAAAGCTTGCAGAACAGAAAGTCATTGCTGACTCCAGTAGCTTTGACACTTGAAGCCAGATCCTCAAACCTCTCAATGTGATCCTTAGGATGTTCATGAGGTAAGCCATGGAATGGATGCTGGCCAACCAGCTGATAGTAGACAGGTTTGACCTCAAAATCGTTCCTCTGGAAGGCAGGAGGTCGGATTGCAGCTCTTTTGGCATAGAACTGATCAGGTCTGTTGTAGTCACCTAAAGTCCTCTGAACAAAACGCCCAGCAGCGTTATTGACAGCAGCAGGGACCCCCACGTTCTCAGCCACTTGCTGAACCTGCTGTTCAACAATGACATTCCCCTCTTGATCAATTCTCTGCCCCTCTTCGTTCCTCCTGTTTCCTTCCCTGTCAACCAAGTGACCTTCTGCATCTTCAACCAAGATAAGTGGAGCGACCATTGTAGATTGCTTCTTAGCTTTCCTGTTAGTTCTCTCCAACCTAGCAAGCTCGTCGATGCTCAAAGTCACAAGCTCCTTCTCTTTGTTGCTTCTGGTACTGCGATTAGGCATACACCTGAAACAGGAACAAAGAAAAGTAGCTGAAAGTCAGTAAACAAATAAAAACTTAGACAAAATCCTAATACTAAAAATCGATAGGCAGCTATTACTCCCCGGCAACGGCGCCAAAAACTTGATAGGGCTCAGGTTTTACCCAAATAAAACTACTGCAAGTGCACAGCAAAAGCAGTTGTAGTACAAGGGGTTATCGAATCCCAAGGGAGTAAGTAAACTAGACTAAAGAGTTCAGGTTCGGATTAAGCTAAGCGATAAATAATGAATGTAATGCAAAACAGTAAAATAAGTGCAAGAGGGCGTTTTTATGCTTGTTCTTAAAGTTCAGAAGGCTAAAGGCGGTAAGTCAGGACAGTTCGCAGGTTGAATTCGAGAGTGTAGAATGCATGCAATCAGGAATGAATTAAAACCGTCTTGAACATGAATCGCAAAGATATAACTAATCAATTCTCATTGAAGAAGTTATCTATGTCTAAATCACAGAGTTTCAAATCTCTTTGCAAACCCTAACAACCTAAACATGCAGTAATGATCAGGTTCAATTGTTCACAAAACTCCTAAGCCAAATCTCTTTGTACTAGGGCGTTTTTGCTCATCAAATACTAGTTCAGGTTATTAATAATGCTCTCACATCTATCAAAAACCTAGGGTTTCGAAATTCAGATGATGTGTCTAAGAAATCGATATGAATGCAAGCACAGATGAAGAACCAATGAATTTCCTATAAGTTTTTAGCAATTCTACAAACTCTTCTTCAACCTTTGAAAAGCCCTAACTTAACTAACAAACTACTCAGACATGATGATTTGAGAAAACATCATGAAAAGAATAGATTGCATAAAAGAAATAAGAAGTAGAAATAAAGGAGTTCAAAAATCTGCTCTGAAGGAGTCTGATTTGTCTCTCCAAAAGCTCTGCTACAAATCTCTCTCTAAAGCTCTCAAAAAATAATAAGATACAAGATATATGCCAAAAGAATGGCTGAAAAACCTAATATACAAGCTAAAACACGATCTGGGGTCTTTTTGCAAATACTGGAACTTTTGGGCCAAAACTGCAATTTCTTCCCAATCTTTTAAAAACAGGCCACGACCTCCTTCCTTGGTGGGTGACGAGCGTCACCAGCTTGGTGACGAGCGTCACCATATGGCATACTTTCTTCTTCGAGCTAGGTACTTCGTGGCTTCAACTCAGAATGCTCCAAAAGGTTCCAAAATCTCCAATTATGCTCCAGACATGCTATAACCTGCAAAGACTCTTCTATGACTCTAAAAAGACCAAAAAGACTCAATAAAAAGGAATTATATCATGGTTAAAAACCATAAAAACCATGATATATCATGCAGCTATACCTCACGTACCAGTTATACTAGTTGAAATCAGTTGAACTAAAGTGAACTCAGTTGTACCCGTTGAACTACACCTCTCATTTGTACCACGTGTACCAGTTGAACCCAATTTAACTCAGTTGTACCAGTGCAGCTATACCTCACGTACCAGTTATACTAGTTGAAATCAGTTGAACTAAAGTGAACTCAGTTGTACCAGTTGAACTACACCTCTCATTTGTACTAGTTGAACTCAATTGAACTAAATTGAACTCAGTTGTACCAGTTGAACTATAACTCTCATTTGTACCAGTTGAACTTAAGTTTTCAGTTGTTCCAATTCGCTCTCAGTTGTACCAGTTGTACCAGTTGTACCATTTTTCCTATCAAAAGTCTGGGAATTCCGAGCTCGACTTTCGTTGTTCTGCATATGAATCTGATTAACATAACCACGTTCTTCTCACAAATTACCGAACGTATGGCTTAATCTATCCACAATACATTGTTACCAACCCAGATCCCTAATTTTTCAAATCTAAAGCCCTAATTTTACACTCTAATTGATATAGAAGAAATCACCTTCAAAATATGAGATCTTCAACAATGGCAGAAAGAGGACTGGAATTCTGGGTCGGACGAAGTGGAGAAAGAGTCGATCTATGTTGGATGAAAAGGATGACAGGAGAAGTAGCTCAGGGAAGGAGCTTGGAAACCAGAAGAGAGCCCAGGTGAGAAGAGAGAGGAGGAGTTCGAGCTCAGCGAGGCTGTGGGGATGCGGGGGATCGAGATTCAATTTTTTTTTTTTGTTTTTCAAATTTCATTTTTATTTATTTTTACTTTTTGTACTTTTACTAATTTATTTTTACTTGGTTAATTTCACATCTCATTTAAATGAGAGGGTGGCATTAGATCATGGGATGGCAGCCCAGATCAATTTTTCTGCCAAAATGGCATTTCAGCTCTTCGCTCTTGCGAATGGCATTAGCCGTGTGGAGGAAGATGAAGAGGAGATCGATGCGGCATTAGCGAAAGAATGTGTGGATTCACCGTCTAAGCTATCGGTTCTTGGTTCTAGGGTTTTGAAAAGGGTTAAAGAGGAATATGGATTTACAGATTTTCTAGGGTTTGTTTATTTGGGTGGATTCGAGAATGTAAGGAATGTGTATGAGTGAAGAGGCGTGAAACTTGAGGTTGATGAAACTAAATATGCCTTTGGGAACTGCTATGAGATCGAATGCGAGACAGAGGAACCGGAGCGTGCCAAGACAATGATTGAGGAGTTTCTTACAGTGAACAAAATTGAGTTTAAAGATTCAGATATGACAAAATTTGCTGTTTCCCGATCAGGAAAGCTTCCTTGACAGGGTTAGTCTCTCCTACAGTCTCTTCAAATACTATGCATTTATTTGGTTAGCTTGATTGTTGGTTCTTTTCCTCGAATACCCCAGTAATACTCTGTGTTTGAAGAAATGCTTTCAGTTAAGCTGTAGCATTTGTATAGATGGGTCTAAATTTGTTCAGTATGATCTTTGAAGAAATTCTTTCAGTTAAAATTGATGTATTGACATGTATTGCTTGTAGTAACTGGACTACCTATAGCCAACTAACACACAAATGAATAAATATCAGTTCACTAACTCCATTGCATGAAATTCTTCTTTTGTCCATCATTTTCTGCAATGTAAATAGTAACAACTCTCTAGTGTGTAAGGAATAATCGAAATCTTCATATGGATGCTTTGAAAAGCTTCCTACAATTTTAGTTGTCTTGTTTGTTGCCATAAATCTAACTTACTGTGACGTGTATTGAATAGGTGGAGTATCTGAGATGGGAGAAACGGTGGCGCTAATTAGTTTACCGGCATGATCAAGTTGTACTGATTACTATTCAGTTTACTGTTGAACTAGATGATGTAATTTGCACTATTTCTTAATGCCATATATATATATATGTCCATTATATATATAGGTCAATATATCAATAGTATGAGGATCCATATTCTTCCAAGCCTGTGTTCTGGAATGCTTTTTAAAAATAAAAAATCATTTTTGGGAAAAAGCTGAAATGGCAGAAATCAACCTGTTTTTTTTATAATAAAAATATAATTTAAGATATATACATATAATATAAATAATGTTGGTTGCCATCAGTCCCTATACTATATGTAGTCTATTTAATCCTTTAAACTATATATTTTTGATTATTATCTGCACTCAAACAATTGTTTATTTGTTTATTCTTTTAAATTTAGTTAAAAATTAAAATCACGATTAATTTACAAAATCATGTTTTGGTTAGATTACGGGGATGTATTGAATCTAAAATTTTAGAGAATTTGAAATGTTTGAGTTTTAATGAAATCTTTTAGATGATATTATGTGGATTATGAAAGTTGATATGATTTGATATTAAAATTATATGAAATCCCACCTAAAGCAGTGGAATTTTGGGTTCTATATTTTTAATTAATAAATTTCACCAAATCATTTAAAAGTTCTCAATATTTTTTAAAATTCACTATTAAAAATATTTTCAGTAACAGTGGATTTGATTTAGTTTTTAAAAATTATTGATTGAATAACATAGATTTTTAAATGATTTTAATTAGTTTTACATAAATTTTATGTTCAATAACATCAATTTTGGTAAGACGTTTAGAAATCACTAATTCAATTACAGGGATTTTTAAATCAATCATCAAATTTTCTGAAATTCCTAATCCAATACACCCCCTACATTTAGGAGTAGGAAGGGGGTATGCAAAAAAAAAACAAATTCTTTGGGTGAAAATATGCATAATTTATTAAGTTTAGTGATAAACATATCATTATTAAATAAAAATTTAACCTATTCAGTCATTGATCTTGTGCGCTAATCAACTGAAAAGAGAAAAAGTGGTGAGTAATGAATTACTCAGTGAGGAGATCATCTCTCTCCACTGAAACATAATTAACATTTCTACTATCATATCACACTCATCAAAACACATGAACCTAGACACTAAGAGCATAAACCTAGACACTAAGAGCAGCTTCAACAATTAGTTTTTTTTATCAAAATTTTTAACAAATAAATAAATAAAAAATAATCATATATATAATTAGCCAAACCTCTCACCATCTAAGTTATCCACATCAACATTTTTTAAACTTTTTATGGCTTTTGATTTTTACTTTTTTATAGGCTTTTAACTACAATTTGTTTTACATCATCAGCAATTTTTTAATTTTTATATAAACTTTAAACTTTTTTTTGAATTTTCTTTAGGGTTTTACATACTTTATATATATATATATATATATATATATATATATATTCCATGGCTTACCTCAAGAGCATCCTATGGATCACATAGAGAGGTTTGAGGATTCAGCTTCCAGTGCCAAAGCTAATGGGGTTAGCAATGACTCTCTGTTCTGCAAGCTTTTCCCTTACTCTCTTGAAGGAGAAGCTGCATATTGGTTGAAGCAACTGGAACCTGCTTCATTAAGCCAATGGTCCCCGTCTCGATCATTTTCCTTGGATCGCCTAGTTGGCTCGATCTTCTGGTCGATCAACTCCTAGATCGACCGGCCATGCTCGATCTGCTACCCGATCTCTGGTCCTTAGCATATTCCCGAGCTCCCACGAACTGCTACATCAGCCTCAACACGTCCACGAACCTCCACGACTCCAAAGCAGCCAGAAACAACCTGAATGTGATGCAAAATGCAAGAAAAATGCGTATGCTGATGCAAGAATGCTCTAGGACCCTAAGTGATGCAATCTAACCTAAAACATGGTACAAATGCATGAAAAGCTAACTAATGAGTATGCAAAATGTATGCAATATGCAATAACATCAACTCCCCCAAACTTACTTCCTGCTTGCCCTCAAGCAACAGAAAATAAGTAAAGAAGAGAGGTTTTCAGAAAAAATGAGTGGGGTTTTAAACTTTTTGCAAAGGTGCCTTTCAAATGAATCAATCTCAATGTCCTAGTTAACAGTTCTAAAATGCTATGCTTACACTCATACTACAAAGAACTTAGCCATACTCATCACACAAAGAAATTCAAATCATGACTCTCTTATTCCTAACAATCAAAGAAACTCATCCTTTAACATTCATTAACATTCGAACCATGAATCAAACTTATGCACTTTAAAGCAAAATACATTTGGCTAAGGGTTATGGTTATGAGCATAGAATGATCTCATTTGAAAAGGTTTTATAATCAGAACAAGGGTTTCTCTCAAAAATGGATGAACTTGTGCATAATGCTAAAGGTAAAGACAATTTATGCATACATGATTAGATTCTCATCTACCCATGTAAACTCTCAAATGATCCTATACCCCTCTCATTTAAGAAATTTTATCCTCACTCACCACTTAAGAGTCTACCCTTTTCTTTATAAACTAAGCAATCCCCAATTCGAAACAAACACATTTTTAGACTTTTTAGGCTAGTGAAAAGGTTTTGAAAAATACTTTTGCTCTTTAGAAATTTCTTATTAGTAGCTCTCTTATTATTTTTTTTTCTTTTTATTATTATTTTTTTCTTTATTTGGCACTTAGGCTCTTTTTTTTATTTCTTTTTCTTTTCTTTTTTCTTTTATTATGGGAGAGCTACCTCCTGAAATTAGAGCATACTTAGTTTTAAAAACAACCTTTCACTTAAAACATCATTTCTTTCTTTAAAACACAAAGCTCTTTGAAACCAAGAGTAAATAGACAAGATAGCAACCTCAATGATCCCCCAAACTTATCCTAAGCCTACACCTAGCTTCAAAATGCAAAGCTAGCAACAATATGAAAACCAAATCATGTCGCCTAAACCTAACACTTCATGCCAAGTTCAAACCGAAAGGAAGGCCTAACAAAGATGTCACACAAGAACATTTGGCTTCAAAGGAGGGTAAGGTTCAAGGAGGGAGTTCTACTTAGGCTCACAAAGAGTGGTAAAACGGAAGAAGAGAGCCTAAATATTTTAAAACCATGTGTTCATTTTCAAATGCATAAGAATGATAATTAGAATTTCAAATTAAGGTTTTCACTTATTAGAATGAGTTTCAAATCATGAGAGTTCAATTCAAGCCACGAAAATCCTAACAAGTGATCCAAGCATGGTAAGAACATACTTTCAAAGCATAGACAAAGCATTAGAGAACTACTAACTAGGGCATTGAAACAATTCATAAGTAAAAATACCTTTGTAAGAAATTCTAACCCCTTATGCAAAATGCAAACAACCTAGGTGATATGAGAAACTCTAGACTCAATCTTAACATGTTTTTAAAAAAAAAAAAAAAAAATGAATGCAACTACATGAATCTTTGAAAATTTTTTACCAATTTTTCATGAACTTGCTTGACACCGTCCCGGTGGCAAACTCATCCGAAGGAGCATCAAAACACAATGCAAGAAACAAATATGAGCGGTTATATACAATGGAAGAAGGTGGTTACCTCTTGTCTAGGCTCGGCTGGAACTTGAGGATGTTCCAGAGGAGCTAGAGATCGTTGCTTTGCCTTTGTCAGCTGGTTCTTGGAGAGAGTGGCACGCCGGCTGAATGTTGTCTACTTGGGTCTCGCGGATGACAACTCCTCCGGTTGAGAGCCTTCTCTTCTCGGGTTGTTGCATCTCCTGGCTTGCAGCTGGCTTAGGCGAGCCTCCCTGAAGTGCTTTGACCTTCTTCCCCAGCTTCTTGAGCATTTTGCCTTGCCCCTTGTTGATCTTCCTTTGCATCTCCACAACTGATGCTAGGAACTTCTCGGTTTTTGTCCTCGACTCAAAGTCTAGCTTGGGAAGTGTGTAAGCCTCGGGCATCTCATCTTCCGTGCCTGGAGACTCTGACCTTTGACGCGGGGCAATTGCTGAAGCAGGCGGTCCTCCTAAAGGGGCAAAGCATTCTTCCTCCGTGGGCATGAACTCGATGTTCCCAACACCAAGCAGCTCGGTTTCGTCTTTGTTGGGCAGGATGCACACTCTCTTCTTGTCTTCATCATCAATGAAGAGGTAGGCATAGAACCCTTCTTCTGGCATGCTTCCCAAGCTATCAGTATTCCTCATGTATGCCTCATCCATGAAAGCTCTGTTTGGGACGTGAGCAAAGTCATGAATGGGCACACCGGCTTGCACGAACAGAGGAGTAAGGAAACCGCCAATGTAAGAGGAGGTCGCATTGCACCGTAAGGCATAAGCCTTGTACTTCACCAAGGAAGCCGCGAGCACACAGCCGTAGTTCACTTCATCGCCGAGTTCATCCTCTATGGGCTCTTCATTTGCATCCGGATCAGACACCAAGTGCTTCACACCTTGGTACAGGAAGCACAGCTTCGTCTTCGTGACCGTAGGAGCAACAGACCTTCCACTGAACG